TATGGAGACTGGTTTCAGTGGTGTCACGCGGCTCTTAGCGGCGGCCAATGATATGTTAACGCTGCCGTCTGCTCGCTCCGTTCTCAAATACACGGCGGCTGCGTAGGCCTCCTCGCTTGCGTCGACGAATGTGTGTAGTTGCCGTATCGACACTGGGTTGTAATCGTAGCATCGCGGTATTCTCAGTTGTTCTATGGCGTGAAGTGAAGTAATCCAGTCTTCCCATTTTTCTTTTAGCTCTGCTGGCGGAGGGTCGTCCCATTCCGCCTTGTAACGCCATGTGTCTTGGAATATTCTCTTGGCTGGGGTAGTCACTGGTGATATTAACCCCAGCGGGTCAAATAATGCCATTATGTTGCTCAGCGCTTCACGTTTAGTTGGCAAGCGTTGTTTTTCTTTTACGTCGACCGGCATCTTCATATTGTGAGTATTAAATCCGATATGATCGCTTTGTACATGCCAGAGCAGGCCGAGCGTCTTCTCGGTTTCTTTTCCGCCCAGGCGCACGGTCGCGTCGTGTTGTTTATGCTCTGTCGTTATTTCTTCTATTGTTTTCTCTTCGTTCGATGTCCACCCGCTGAGTACGAATCCCGCTTGTTTGTGGACGAGATCGACTGCTTTTACAGTTTGCTGAGCTTCCGTGATGGAGTGGAAGCTCTGCAAGTAGTCGTCCATTTAGTGATTTCTTTTTATGGCGACCGCAGCTTCTGGTTATGCCTCTGAATGTTCTTCAGCATTTTTATTTTTGATGTATAATGCTGTGCATGGTGATGATGTCGCTCCAAAGATGATCGATGTCATCCTATATTCTTCCGGTTGGCCCTCCCGCCGCTTGCCTCTCCGCAAGAAACGTAAAACGTCTCTATCTTCTTTGCGCACTTTGATCTGCATGAACATTTCTTTTATGTCGGCGCTCACTGCATACGGATACTGTCGGAACCTCATGATTACTCCGGGCAATGATTGTAATAAGTCCGGCCCCGAGTGAAGCATATCGTTGAGACATATTCCTGCTGTCTTCGCTGCGGCGTCGTGCACCAATCTCGGTGGCTTATTAGGTTTCGCAGGGTTGATGACTGGGAAGTGAGGCAGATACCATGTCCTTCCTTGTGGCGGTGGCATGGGCGCGCGCTCTGCGTAACCCGAGTTGAAGAGGTTCTGTATGCGTTCTTCGTACTGTAGCTTGAGATTGCTGTCTCGGTCAAGCCTCTTCTCTAAAGTGTGCAGATGTCTGTCCGCGTCTTTGTAATTATTTGGTATTTGGAAATCCTTTTGTTTCCACAGCAACCCTGTCTCGAATCTGCCGTCCGCCGACCTCCGGCTGGTCTCCCTCAATATTTGTATAGCTCGCTGCTCGGGATCTTCTTTCGGTCTTCTTGGCTCGATGCACAGTGATTCTAATTTGAAATAATTCTTTATTTCTTCTTCTATTGGCTGTGCCTCTTCCCTTTGATGTAGTCTGCCGCAGAAGGTGACCGTCGACGTCAATGAGCTATGACAGCCATGCAGAACCCAGCCCAGGTTGGTGTATGAGGCGACTGGTTGATCTCGACGACCGACGCGCAGTTTTCTAGATACTATGAGGTGCCAGTTATCTTAGGTGATATCCTCTTTGAAATCCAGCAGATGTTGGCAATTCTCCAAGTGATTTTCATTCACGGATTCTGGCGCGAAGTCCAACCCCTCTACTGTACGCGCTGCTTCTATGTTGTGTTCCTCTTGCGCGTACTTTCCTCTTATTTTAAGGCTGACGATCTTGCTCTTCTCATGTTTCACCTCCGAGCCAACCCCTTGTATCCACATTGCGTGGGCTGGGACGTCGGCGCCGATGACGTCAGCGATCGAGGCATCGACTAAGGTGACCATGCTTCCTTCATCCAATAATGCGTATGTTTCGACACAGCTTAGCGGCCCCCCTTATTGTTACGGGCGCAATCTTTAGGTAAGCGCGGCGGTGTTTGTACGGTCGAGTCGTTGTGATGACCTCCCTTGCCGATGTTGCGGTTTCCATAGCGGGTTCTTTTTCAGTTTCTGCTGTTCTGTCGTGATGCAGCAATTTATGGTGTTTCATCATGCATCCGCCTTTTCCGCACGGTGGAGCTTTACACAGCAATCGGCGATGTTTGCCTCGCAGACAGCGGTAGCAGATATTATACTTCTTCGCTACTTCCCATCTGTCATTTGTGGACAGAGCGGCGTAGGACTTGCAATCGGGCAGTTTGTGTTCTTGTTTGCATTGAGGGCAGCGTTCTTCATATTATTTCTTGCTTGTGGCGAAGGCACGTTCTAATTTTCTCGGCCTTCGCTCTCTCGTTTCGTTGTCCTCCGTGATGAACTCCGGCAAGGCATATGCGCTGCATTTATCCGCTTCTTCATTTAAGAAGATTGATATCTTCTTAAGCTCTGGGATATCTTCTTTCTTCGTGGCTGCATAGTCGTACCATTTGCTTCTCAATATGGGCGTGAGTTTCTCTGTGATAACTCGCGTCATTTCCGGACTATGCAGATAGTGTGCTTTCTTGAGTGCTTCCACGGTGCCCACTACGTTTGCTATGCGATTGGCGATTATGCATAGCTCCCTGGGATTGTCCGTAACTTTGTTCAGCAGCTTCAGTTTCTCTATTTCTAAGTGAATTAATGCTTCTGGTCGTCCGAATCTGGCATCTGCTTCAGGCAGCCTGCGGCCTCTTTTGCTATCCCTTTTAAGCTTCGGCGTATTCTCGCTATGTTTTCGTTCATCGTGAAGTACTTTGAAGATTCTTCGTACGTTGTTTTGAAGCTGAGCCATTCTTTGCTGCTACCATTGAATGTGGGCAGCTCTTGCAAATATTTTGACGGCTCCCTTGTGCTTCGTACTGCTTGTGATAGAGCAGCGGCTAAGGTTATTTACGTGGTAGAGTCATGCTGCAATTATATTAGTAGTATAGTTGTAGCACGAATGGGTCGGCTCGACCGGGGAAGGACCACGCTCTCACAGAATACCAGCGTGAAATAGTAGCTTAATGCTGCTGTATTTCGTATGGTGAGTGTAGAGAACCGGAGACCCTTTTTACTGGAAATGAGGCATTTCGTCTCAGTCCTCACGGGTGACAACGCATCTGCATTTTGATTTGTAATGGAGGATGGATGTAGATGTCTGTGGGCCGCAGCAACCACTTACCATCAGGTGGACTATGTGCTCGTTTGTCACCCTATCCTATAAAAAAAAATAAAAAAAAAGGTAGCGACGTCAATTTGTTGCTGCGCTTGTCCATAGTCTTCTTTCTGCGGTGCGGTATGTTGTGGAACGTATTGCGGCGCATACTGTTGAAGTACGGGTGGTGCGATCTGCGGTGCGGTTGCGACGCGAAGTACGACGTGGGTTGTGGTGCAGACTGCGGCGCGGGTTGCGATGTAGGTTTTTCTTGCAACCATGTACTAATGCGCACTGATGCTAAATCGTCTTCTATTTCTTCCTCTTCGTCCTCGGTTGATCCGACTTCTGCTTGTAGTCGCTGCACGTGTATTTCTTGCAATTCCGTTCTTGCTTGCAATCGGGCCTGCTCGAGCTTGAGTTCTGCTAACCGCTCTTTCGCCTCTATCTCCGCGAGGAGTCTCTTGCGTGAGACTACGGAGCGGCGCGACCTAGTCTCGCCCGGCTTTAATGTGCGCTGCGATCTTTGATCTCTCTTGCTGGGTTTCTTCCGTTGCAGTCGTTTCATCGGTCGCAGAGGTAGCGGTTGTATCGCTGACCGTTGTGGTTTCGCTAGTGGTGTTTGATGAGCGAGACCGGTCGGTGATCTGATCCTAGATCGTCTAGTGTCTCGATTGCTCTAAGGTTGAGAGAAACTCCTTGGAGTAACGCAAAATCTAACACATCGGGGGCGTGATAGGTGTTATCGGGAAAGTGAGTAACACCGAGAGGACTATGGACGGTAATATCAAGAGACTGCGTGATATCGAGCAGTATCTTGCCACTAGGGGACGTAGTGCGGCATGTCCATTCAGTATGCTTGGAGTTAAAATCTCCAAACATAAGGACTGAATTGCCTAAAGATAAAATGGCCTCAAAATCTTTTTTGAGGGGATGGGTTCCTGAAGGGATGTAACAGGAGGCTATGAGGATGGATTGATGTCCAGTCATAGCTAGCCTGCATACCGTGGCTTCCATGTTGGTAAGCTGCGGTGTAGAAATGGGCGAGCAATGAAGTGTCTTCTTGTAATAGATGGCCGTTCCGCCGCCTCGGCGGTCGGGTCTGTCGTTACGAAGAAGAGAGAAGTTTTTAATAGAAAGGCCTCTAGTGTCCTTAGCTTTGAGATTAGTTTCCTGTAGGAGGAGGAAATCGACTTCACGATTCCGAAGAAAGAGCTTAAGCTCTGGGAGGTTATTTCGCAAGCCGCGAATATTAAATGATACAAGCGATAAACCCTTAGGTTTGATACGACCGTGAGATTTAGGTAGAGTGGTTTGCTCAGTCATTGAAGTTAAGTTAATTAAGTTAACTTACTTACAACGCTAATAGAAGATTGTTGTGTTCTGCAAGAACGAGGAGACGTTCTTGGGGGGACTTTGCCGCGCGCAGTTTGCGTGCTACTACGGTGATTTCCCTAACATCGATATTCCTAATAGCGGAATATAGTGTGTTGTAGTCGTCAGGTGTGGGCTCTGCTTCATGTGCGTGCGAGGTTGTCCGCGGTGGGTCTGCCTTTTTGGGCCCCCAGGGAAAGACTGGGGGCTGCATTGGCTTGGAGAAGCCCGGAGGGGGGCCGAATTATGCCCTGAGGGGGCCTAGGGGGACCCTGAGAGGGTCGGGAGAAGCCCTGGATGGGCTGAGAAAGGCCCTGACGGGGCCGTTGTTGGAGGGCCGGGAATGAGCGGTCATTTACCGGCGGTGGAGCTTGCCTACTAGGTTAGGTTAGGTTAGGTTTTTTTTTTTTTTATGTATGTTTTGCTGCTTTCCTCTGACATGTAGGTCAGAGACATTGTCAGCTCGACATGGACTTTATTTCATGTTTTTTATTTACTTTGTCCTTTTTGTTATATAGAGGGTGTAGAGGACTCCGGGTTTTCGTTCGGGAGTCCTACTACTCTTTACCTAATACACGCAACAACAATATATTATATCTCTTACTTATAAATTCCTTTATATTAACACACATACAATTTGTAAATAAATCTTATAATTTTGAATTTGGAGTCAGCGCATTCTCTCTGTATATAAAAGTATAAACACAAGGAAGCGCCGGTTTTATTACTAAATTGATTGTTAAGTCTCAAATAATAATTGAATTAATAATCAGTTCAAGTTACATATTTTAGTAAATAATAGAGATAATAATAATCAACAATAGTCATTGGGCATATTTATCATATTAAAAATATTCGTCATATTAAACTATATTAAATTTCTATAATTTACTTTTGGTTATGTTTAATGACTTGTTTAACTACACCCTCACAAAATTTTATAAACTTATTTCGCGTCCTTTTTTCAATGAGCAGCATGTGTAAATTTTCTTTTACTATCTGAATATCGATTTCAGACTCGATATCGTATCTGGCTTTATCAAACCGAGGACACTGCAGGAGGATGTGCATAACCGTCTCCTCGGTTTCAAGCTCACAGACGCATGATGGGCTCTCCTTGCACCGAAACCGATACAGGTACTCGGAGAACCCACCATGTCCGGTCATTGCTTGGATCATCGTCGGAGACAGCGCTGTTTCTCTAATCACCTTGTGGGCTGTCTCAACGTCCGGCAGAAATGCTTTAGTTGTTCTAGCGGTCTCTCCATCTGTATACCTTCGGTTCCATTCTTTAAGCGTCTCAGATCGAATGAGACGCTTTACAAAAGAGACCGGCCAAAGGTCGTAGTCCGGCTTTCTTTTTTGCCCGCAGCGCCGCCTGTTTAGCCAGCTCGTCAGCTCGTTCATTTTCCGCAAGACCCGCATGGGCTTTTATCCAGAAGAGTTGTAATGTTTTTTGTTGCCTTAAGATGTTATAAATGTTTTTGCGGGTCTTGACTGCTAAAGAGTGTTGAGAGTCGTGGTCCACAATGGTCTCCAGAGCAGACCTAGAGTCACTGTAGACCCCGAAAGTTGTCTCCGCGCTAGAGAGAATCCGCTCAGTTGCCATGTATATGGCCAGTAATTCCGCCTGGTAAACGGTACAGTAGTCCGACAGTTTGAGTTTCAGAGTTTGGGTCTCACCAGCATTATTTCAAAAAGATAAGGTCGCTCCGACCTTTCCCTTTATTTTACTCCCGTCGGTAAATATTCGGAGACTCTGGTTGTTGTTGAGTCTCACTTCGTCCTCGTTTACCAGGCATATGAATTGCAGATCCATATAGGATGCGGGGTGAGGCAGTTCCATAAAGCTCGCCTTTGTCTCCACCACTCGGTCTGCCAGCAGCGACTGGAGTTTTCCTCTCCTCGCCTCAAAAAGGGAAGCTGCTTCTTGGACCCTCAAGTCCAGAGGAAGCAGACCAGACAGTGCTAGTGCCGAGTGTAGGGATACGGTCCGGTATGCTTTGATAATTTTTTGAGCGAATCCTCTCTGCACATTATTCAGTTGCTTCCTGACTCCCAACTTCTTAGCGGCTGGCGCCCACGCGCTCGCTGCGTACAAAACCACCGGTTCAACTACCGCCGTGTACATCGTCCTAATAATTTCTGGTTGAAGGCCCCAACTGATCTTTGCCGCTCTCGATAGCTGTGAGTAGAGAGATGTGGCCTTCTTGCACACATTCCTAACGTGTGTGTTAAAAGTAAGTTTTTTGTCTACGGTGAGACCAAGCACCTTGATCTCCTCCGACATGCGCACCACCATACCGCCCATGCTCAGACGTGGGGGATCGTATTTTGGTTTGTTCGTTATTACCATTGCCTGGGTCTTATGTGGCGCAAATTTAAGTTTGTTACGAATTCCCCACTTCATAACATGTTCCAGAGCAGCATCCGCACGTATTTGGACATCAAGCGCCGTGTCCCCCGCAAACAGTAGGACGATGTCATCGGCGAACGCCTGACACCGGTCACTTTTACCTTCCATTTCTTTTAGGAGAGGGTCGAGAAGAAGATTCCATAGGACCGGTCCTCCTATGGAACCCTGTACGCACCCCTTTGTGGTTGCCCGTGTATGTTCCACACCTGCATATCTAAGTCTCACTTTCCTATCCTGGAGATAACTGTCCATCAATGTTCTTATATTATTAGGGCACTTTTCCTCAGCCAATCGGCATCTTATAGCTGGCCACCAGGCGCTATCGAAGGCTCCCTCTATGTCAAGAGATATTATCACGATGATCTTTTTATTGCGTAATTGTAGTTGGAAATATTGCATCATATCATAGAGGGAGTCTTCGGTGCTCCTTTGTGGGGTAAAACCGTATTGACGAGTACTACATCCGGATTGGACATGGTGTCTGATCCTTTTAATTATCATTTTCTCCAGGATTTTACCTAACACAGGTAGTAGACCTATTGGTCTGTAGGCTTTGGGGTGCGTATAATCATCCTTTCCAGGTTTCCTCAAAACAACTACCACTGCCTCTTTCCATTTGGTAGGGAAGTGTCCCAACTCCAGGCATTTGTTGACTAGGCTCAGATAAATCTCCGGGCTATGAAAGATGGCTTCTCGGCAGATGTCGGCCGTAAAACCATCCCCACCGGGTGCCTTTTTTGGGTTGAAGCTGCTCGTAGCTTGCCTTAGCTCCGCAAGAGTAAATGGTGGGTCACAACAATCATCTTGCGTTCCCACGTTTATCTTTTCAGCTATCTTTCTTATACGCTGGTAGTCTGTGTTATCAGCTTCAACCTCATCTTCGGGGTAGAATGTCTCGGCTAAACATCTCGCTGATTCGGCATTATTTAGAGCTACTCCATCCTTTGTGAGTGGCAGATCTTCGTGCCGTTTAGCAGTTCTGCCGATAACTCGGTATATGCCTTCCCACAACCCCTTTCTATTCTGTCTACCACAGAACTCTTTCCAGCTTTTTATCTGAGCTTGTTTAGCTTCATATTCGTATTTTTCTTTTGCTTGCAGGTATTCTCCGACGACTGCTTCTCTTCGCATTGGGGCTGCACATCTTATGCGTCGTTTTTTGGTGATGTAGTCCTTCTTAAGCCTGACAAATTCGTCACTCCACCATGGTAAATTCAGTTTGCTTATATTCTTCTTTTTTCGGGATTGTGTTTTCGCAAGTTTTTTCGATTGTTTCTAAATAATTTTTGATTTGATTTTCTAAGTCCAATTTGTTATTTATTTTTTTAATTTCTACGGAATTGATATTTTTATCTGCCAGAAATTGAATCAATTTCTCACGAAATTGACTCCAATTTGCTTTTTTACTATTATATATTCTCGTTGTTCTTTGTATCGTTACTCCTGAACTTTTGACTAAATTAATTGAGAATTTAATTGTATTGTGATCTGAACTTGTCATGCCAGTATCCACTTTCCAGTCCTCCACCACCTTCAACAAGTTTTCGGAGCATGCTGTTATGTCGACATGACTCCTATATGTTTTTCCTCCTCTTACCGTATCAAATGTAGGAGTGTCTCCTTCATTTAATATGTGGAGGCTGAGCTCATTTAAAGTTCCCGATAGCACTTCTCCTCGTCCATCTTCTCTCACACTACCCCACCATGGGCTCCAAGCGTTTCCGTCCCCTCCTACGAGTACGTCAATTTTACCAATTTTAGTGAGCACATGTCTTAAATGGTCCATGTATGGTTCAATGGGTAAGTCCGGTTCGAGATACAGGGATATTATTCCCACCTCCTGAGCACCCATTCCAATTTTGACTACCGTGAAATTATTTGTAGTGAGAGTAGGATACTGAGTGACGCTGATGTTATTGTTAAAGACGGCAATGGCCGTCTTAACTATTCCTGCTGTTCTTTGGGTGCATTGATATATTCGAGCACCTCGGTAGCTTTTCATGCTCCCCACGCCCCCCCACATACGGTTCTTGGATTAGAGCGATACTCATCCCAATCTTGCTGGCCTCAATCATCAATTCATTAGTTGCAAGCTCTTTTCTTTGAAGATTTGCCTGCACGAAGAAGATGGGTTCGTTTTTTGTCCTTTCCTGTCGTTTTTGCTCATTGCCCCCAATTTTAGCTACAACTTTAGCAATATGCCACACTTGATCTTGCTATAGCATCCCACTTCCTACGTACCGGACACCACTGTCAAAAGTGTTGTGGTCTGCGCGATCCAACTTTGCTCTGAGACAGTTGGTACAAGAAGGTGTTTTCCCAGCAGTATACGCTGTACATTCGGCTTTGATGTGTGAACCTCCGCAGTGGGAACATTGATCTTCTGCCTCCTTGCATTGTCTTTTTCCGTGCCCATACGCAAGATATCTAGAACATTGCACCAGTGGTGACTGGTCTGCTACCACTACGCGCTGTAAGTCAACGTGTACGCGCCCTATCTCTGTCAAACGTTTCCATAGTGATGGGGACACCTGAAGGATCACGTGGTTTGTATACGGGTTACTGGTCTTTTTCCGGTAACGTACTGCTAATCGCACCTCTTCGCTTTTTAATGATTCCAATAGGTTCTTATTTTGGTTTCTAATTGCGGTAATTATGTCTTCATCGGTATTGATCTGCAGTACATCCCTTAGAATTACCAGTGGGTCTTTATTCTTAGCTTCTTCGACTGAAAGTCCTATATGACCTGCTTTCAGTCGGTTTGCTACTTTCTCCAATTCCTCTCTAGTACCGCATCCCACGATCACTTTCTGATCTTTGGCCTTTCTCACTTTTTTCAATCCTTAGGCCATTTTGTTTTGCATCTACCGCAACTCTTATCTTATTAAGTACTTCACCACTCGTGTCATTTTCATTGTCCGATGTAACTATAATTGAATGCATTTGTGGATGGACGGTGTTTTTCAGGTGGGTTGGGATAACTTTCAGGTGTTGACTCTTGGTGTAATTTGCCGTCACATTTGCATAGGTAGTTAATTTCTCGGTGTGGCATTTTACCTCTTCACTAAACCGTTGAGTTTCTATTTTATACTCAGTGAGGAGCTTACTGTGTTCTTCTAATTTCTTTATTAGCTTGTGTTCTACCTCGATCTTTTTCTCAACAGTGCTAGATTCTTTTACTAATGTGATTTCCTTTCCTTCTCCCACTTCTTTCGCCAACCTATATAATTTGTCAACAGCTTCTATAATTTTGTCCTTTAATTCCGTCTTTAAATTTCGTGAGCTATTTAATAAAAGTTTTATTTTAACCTGATACGCTTTCGCTTCTTGTGCCCTATTTGCATAAATAGTCGTTTCTGGGTCAGCTTGGTTTTCTACACTGCAAGCTGCAGGGGATAGTTTGTTTTGAGATTTTTGTTTGGCCGGTTGCGTGTTTGTCCTTGTTTTAGGAGCTGCACTAAGTCGCGACTCAAGCTCACCGACACTTTTTCTTACTTGGGATATTCCTTCCTGCGCTCTCCCCGCTGATGGTTCTATTTCTTCGGTTTGTTTTACGGAGGTATCCGTCAATACTGTAGTCTTATTAAGTGGGGGTGTTTTAAACATTTTGTCTTACTTCAAAGGGTTATTGTCAACAAAAATTTGAGAATTTATGAGATAAAATTTTCATAAATATGCGCCCAATAAAGCAATAAAATAAGATAAGATAATTTAATATGCAAATTTTAAAGTCAAACGATTTCCGATATTATCTTTATAATAAAATATAATAAATCTAAAACAAGAACAAGTAAAAAGAGATTTGTATAAGTTATAAAATACAGCAAACAGTAAATAACAGATAAATTGTTCCCAAATTATTAAAAGTTTTTAAGTTTGTATAAGTTATAAAATTATTGAAGAGTTGACGAGATTGTCGTAATATCAAATTTAAAAGGACTACAGAGATCCAGTCACCATTTCTGTCAAAATACTTCTCTATATAGAGTCGTAACTCTACCTTGGTTTAGGTACTAAATCAGTCTTATATACACAAAAAATTTGTAAGTCTTTGGCTTTCTACTCTACGTAGAGTCAATTACTTGTGATTAGTTAAGAGTACTCCCTGAGCCCTATCTAAAGAACCCAAACTCGGTGAACCTAGCACAAGAGGTTCAGTAGTTATCGCCTTTTATAATTTCAGTTTTAAAACAATATGGCAGCCAAAATTAGGGTGAAACGCTATTAAAATTAAAAGTTATAAAAGGTATATGTCTATTAATGTTAAAATTTTCAAAAACTATTTCTAAAATGAGAGTTATATACTAACAAGTTTTTGGCTCTACATAGAGTCTGTTTCTAACTATCAGGTAAAAGCACTTCCCGAGCCCTATTCAAAGAACCCAAACTCGGCAATCCTAGCCCAAGAGGTTCCGAAGCTATATCGCTTCAAAACTTTGGTTACAAAGCAATATGGCTGCCTAAAATACGGTTAAAACGCTATAACTCCCGAACGAATAGGCCTACAGCTCCGTGCTTGGGCTCGTTTTGGTGGGCTCGACCAAGGCTGTAATTTGGTATAGATTTCAGGACACAGAAATTATGGGCTCTGAATTTGCCTGAAAGCTATGTAGCCTGTTTAAAACTCCTTACTATCTCCTATGGTCAAAATCCCAGTCTTCTACGATTCCTAGTTTAGCAGATATAGGCCTTTAAAGAATTTCAAGATGGCCGCTGAAGTGTCAAAATTGAAGTTTAACTGACGATATCTTTACTTCTAGTTGTCGCAGAAGACCCGCGCTTCGACTATTTTACTATGCTTTTTCTAGTCTTTCCGTTAAACGCACTTTTAGGACATCAAAAAATATGGGCTTCAAATAGCCTGAAATTTTAAAGGTGGATAAAACTTGATCTCTTAATGTCGAAATCAAAAACCGCAGATTTCTACGACAACCGGAGCCAAAGTTATGGTAGTTTAAAAATTTTCAAGATGGCCGCTCAGCTGTCAGAGTCAATGTTTAGAAGCCCGTAACTTTAAGACCAGAGGTCGTACGGAAACGGGGTTTCGAATTTACAGCTGGGCTGGGCCTAAATTGTGTCCTGAAAGTGGTTTCAGGAGAAAAAATTTCAGGCATCCAATACGCCTGAAAATTTATTGCTATTGTAGAGTATGAGCTCCTCAAACATAAGTTTAAAATCCGAGCTTTCCACGACCAGGATTTTCGAAGATATGAACAATTCAAAAATATAACCCAAAAACCAGATTGTTGAAATTTTGACAAAATCGCCAATTCTCGGATTTTTCGCTTGAAGTTTGAACTTAAATGAAACGTCTCCTATATAATAAGCCTATATATAATGATAAATTTAATTGATTTCTATTATTTTACTAATATTCATGAAAAAATGCCAAAAAATTCATATCTTCGAAACCGAATGCCGTAAAAATCCCGAAAAATTTTTAAAATTAAGAAGAATACAAGCTTATTCTTACTGTGGACTAATGTTAAAAGATTTTTTACAATTTTCTTTAATAAACTTAAAAATAATGTTTTTTATCAAATTTAATAGTTTTATTTAATTGTACAAGTGAAATTTAAATAAAAAATCGTTTATATGTAAATACGGTTAGCGCGCAAAAGATAGCAGTTTCAAAATTTTTTCAAACGTTATACAAACTAAGAAAATTATACTTAAAGTTTTAATTTTAAAAATGTAATTATTTAAAAAAGTATATAATATAAAATTCTACAAACTATTGCGATGCAGCCTCCTTGCCTCAAACTTGCTTCCTGTAATTTTTCAGCTTGCTGTCTGCTTCCGTTCTTGGTTTTCAACAACACGTGTTTTTTGCGTGGTCCAAAATTTTTTCTGTTGCGCCCAAAAGTTGCAGACCACTAAGGCCTTACTTGTGGCAGTCAAACATTTAGGGGGCACTCGTCAAAATCTCCGGATACTGGCATTTAAAGGTTAATTCCTCGAAAACTAACCTCAAAAAAGGTAGTTTTCTGGGTCCTGTGCTTCAGCCGTAAAAGGCCGGGTTGTTTTCTAGATCAGGGAATATAGGCCTCAGGGTGCCCGATCTATCGACACTTCACTTGTCCAAATCGGACCACAAAAGGTTAGGTTAGGTTAGGTTAGGTTTTTTTTTTTTTTTTTTTTTTTTTTTTTTTTTTTTTTTTTTTTTTTTTTATTATTTCTAGTTCCCCTGATATGTGGAGATCAGGGACTTTTTTCATCATTATGGTGTTTCTTTTTCCCCTTTTTTGTTTTTTTAACTTTTATTTAGTTATAATTAGGTTACGGTATTCTTTTCTTATAAGCTATTAATTCTAAGTTCTATTCTACTCTATTTGCTATTCATTTTTATGGGACTGTTTACATTGTATACTTTTGTATATTATGTTACAGTTTCCTTTTTATTTCCTATTTATTCTTATTAACTACTTTACTTGCTATATGCTTACAATATTTTAAAAACTTATTTCTAATATGCTTATTTTCTATAATTTCATGTATATTTTCATTACTTATTTTTTCATCTAAATCTATTTCTATATCATATCTTTCTCTACTATAAATTGGACATTCTATTAGTAAATGTATTATGTTCTCATTTTTAGTTGGATCACAGGCACATGCGGGACTCTCTTTGCACTTAAATCTATGTAAGTATTCAGAGAATCCCCCATGTCCTGTCATAATTTGAACCGTCATCGGGTCCATGTCGATTTTCTTAATTATGTGGTAGGCTTTAATTGCGTCTGGGAAAAAGACCTTCGTTATTGAGGCTGTTTCGCCTTCCGTATAGCGCCGGTTCCATTCGTCAAGCGATTCCAATCGGATTTGCCGCTTGACGAATGAAATCGGACACTTTTCATAGTCCGGTTTTCTCTTAATTTTTGTGGCGGCTTCTTTCTCTAATTTGTCTGCTCTCTCATTTCCCTCCAACCCAGCGTGAGCTTTCACCCAAAAAAGGTTAGTTGTTTTTCCTTGTCTGTTTATTTTGACTATATTGTTTCTTGCTTCAACCGCTAGGGGATGGAGGGAAACGTCTTGGACAATCGTTTGGAGAGCAGATTTTGAGTCACTATATATATTACAGTTTAGTGTTGGTGTCTTTAATACATATCTAGTTGCTTCTAAGATAGCCAGCAATTCTGCCTGGTAGACGGTGCAAAACTTTTCCAGTTTCAATTTCCGGGTACTAGTCTCTGCAGCGCCATTCCATATGGATAACGCCGCACCGACTTTCCCCTCAATTTTACTACCATCTGTAAAAATTTTTAGGCCCTTGTTGTCGTGCTGTTCTATTTTTGCACCGTCTTCCAGGCATGTAAATTTCAGTCCGACCTGTTCCGCGGGATGTGGAGACTCCGAAAATTTAATTTTGCTCTCTACTTCTCGATCTCCTACTATTCGTCGGGAATAACCTTTCTTTATAACATAAAGCGAGGCTGCTTCCTGAACTCTTATGTCCAATGGAAGCAGCCCAGCGAGTAGTAGGGCCGAGTGCAGTGATACCGTTCTGTATGACTTTATTATCTTTTGGACAAATCCGCGTTGTACCAGGTCGAGCTTCTTTTTCACTTTTTGTTTGTTAGTTGCTGGTACCCATGCACTAGCCGCATACATAACAATGGGCTCTACCACTGCAATGTATATGGTCCTAATGATCTCCGGGTTCAGGCCCCAGTGGATCTTGGCTGCTCTCGACATCTGACGATATAGGCTCTGTACCTTACAGCACACATTCTTTACATGTGTGTTGAAGGTGAGCCCGTCGTCAATTGTGAGACCAAGTATTTTAATTTCTTTATTGAGGCTTATGATGTTCCCACCCATCTCCAAAAGTGGTGTGTCATACTTTTGCTTTTTTGTGATGACCATTGCTTTTGTTTTGTGTGGCGCGAAGTTTAATTTATTTCTGACACCCCACTTTCGGACATGTGCAAGGGTTGCATTTGCCTGCTCCTGTACTTGTTTCGCCGTATCCCCGGAAAACATTAGAACCACATCATCCGCAAAAGCCTGGCAATGTGTTCCTTTTGCGATCAACTCTATTAAAAGTGGGTCAAGTAGTATATTCCAGAGAATTGGACCCCCCTATTGAGCCCTGCACACACCCTTTTGTAGTTTGCTTTACCCATCCTGCCCCAGCATATCTGACGCACACCGTTCTATCCTTAAAATAGCTATCAATTAGGCGCCTCAGATACACTGGGCACCCGGTCTCGGCAAGTGCACATCGCATTGCAGGCCACCAGGCATTATCGAAGGCTCCCTCTATGTCTAATGATATAAGCAGGATTAGCTTTTTGTCTTTTAGCTTTGTTCTTATATACTGCATCATATCATAGAGGGAGTCCTCGGTGCTACGCTGTGGCATAAACCCGTATTGTTGACTATTAATGTTTGGTACGATGTGCCACTTGATCCTCCGAACTATCATTTTCTCAAAGATTTTTCCCAATACAGGCAATAGCCCAATCGGCCTGTAGGATTTAGGGTGTGTGTAAGTTTCCTTCCCAGGCTTTCGCAATACTACCACTGTTGCTCTCTTCCATTTAATGGGGAAGTGTGCAAAACTGAGACATTTGTTTGCTAGCGCCAGAAATAATTCTGAG